AAAAAAAAAAAAAAAAACTCGATCGTTTTACTTCTGGCTTGATTTCTGTCACCAAGTCCATACTTCCTGATTATCACTCTTTCTCTATTATTTCAAACTTTTGCATTCCAATCACCAATTATCATTAGTGCTTCTTGATTGGTCAATTTTTGACCACAAAAATGGGTAAAATTTTCAATTTCCTCCTCTTTGGCTTTGGCTGTAGGAAAGCATATAACTGAGCAATAGTTGTATTAACAGGTCTTCCTTTGCATAAGGATAAAGCAAAATAGACCCATAACTCACAGCATATATGGAAATTAACTCAAAATGGACTTGAAAATTAAAAAAAAAAATCATAAAATCTATAGAAGAGAAAGAACCAAGACCTTGCTTCTGATAATGGATAAGTTTTTAATGAAACTATTTAAAAGAGGTTTTTAAAAATATGTGTATATTAGAAACAAGCACAACTCATGAATAGGATAGCCTTCAGCAAGGCTACCAAACATAAAATCTCAACTAGACCCCAGACACTAATACTCACATTTGCCCACATCTGCAAAGTAGAAGGGTCAATTTTGTATAACTGATTAAAGTTACAGTACACAATAGCATCTTCTGGTAACCCATACTGAGAACGAGTGGTTACAATAATGGTACGGGGAACTTCCTCTCCAGTTGCGGCTTTATTATTGATCTGGAACAAAAGAAAAAATACTATATTTAAAGACAGTTCTATAGTTTTTCTGTGATAAAGAATCCATAAAAGATAAAACGGTATAACTATTATAAGTCTTAACTTTAATAAGAGAAAATAATCATACTGATATTAGGTGTTGTCAAGTACAACTCATAGTGACCCTATGCACAACAGGTCTGAATCTTGTCCTATCCTGTGCCATCCTCACATCTCTTGATGTGCCTGAGTCCATAGCTGCAGTCACGATCAATCTACATTGTTCAGAATCTTACTCTCTTTTGCCGACCGTCCACCTTTCCATGTAAGAGCCTCTCCTAGCAATTCATATTAGGAAGTTTATAAAAGAAAAATTACTGCACTATTTTTATATACTTCTATTGTTACAATTACCTTTTCAAGGAGATTATGCTAGGAAACCTTTAGCCAAATAGGTTTCCTTCATCTACATAGGTTTCCTTCATCTACATGGCTTAAATGTCCTTTTCTACTTCTCTCTCACCCTTCAAGAATAAATTATTCCTCCAGCTGGTTCCTTCTCTCAATGGTTTTAATATCACCACAATCAACATAGAAGATTAAAGGTTTTTGTACTGGGTACATAAAGTTTTTGTCCCCTCCTATAAAATCAATTTTACCTTTGCTGATATATATTCTAATACAGGAAATACTCTAAAGGAGATGTAGGATATTCAGGGAGCCCTGCAGTGTTGCCTTCTTGCTATCCAGATTAACAGGTTATTTGCAGATGTCCATAGCAATCCAGCTTCTACTCACAAGGTATTTTATTACAATTACTTTTTTTTAACTTTAGAAAACTTCCTGAAACTTAAGTTCAATTTTCCTGATATTGTTATGTGCCGTCGAGTCGCTTGCGACTCATAGCGACCCTATGTACAACATCCCTAAACTCTGCTCTGTCCTGTGCCAATCGCACTGTCTCAGAAACACCAATCCTGATTACCCCAGTCACTGAATCAATCACCTCACAGGGGGCCTTCCCCTTCTGCGCTGTCCTTCCACTCTTCCAAGCATGATGTCCCTCTCCAAGGACCTGTCCCTCCTTCCAACATGTCCAAAGTATGTTAGAAGGAGTCTTAGAATCCTTGCCTCCAAGGAGCAGCTCGGTTTGACCCTTTCCAGGATGAATCTGTTCTTCCCCTTGGCAGTCCATGGTACATTCAATACTCTTCTCCAGCACCACAGCTCAAAGGCATCAATTCTCCTTCTATCCTCCTTAGTCACTGTCTAACTCTCTGATGCATAACAAGTGAGAGCAAAGACCATGGCCTGTATCAGATGCACCTTAGTCTCCAAAGAGACACCATTGCTCTTCAGTACTTTGGAGAGGTTTCCTGATACTTATTCTAAATTGGTTATTGCCTACAAGGATAATGAGTACTGGCAAGTTAGAACGGACCCATAGCTGAACCTCCAGCAGGTTTTCAGAGGCTAATAGACAAGACCTTAATGAACTTTCAGTGTTGAAATTACTTTATATTAGCTGCCATAATAGCCCAAACCTGACTGTAGAGACCATGTCTTTTTTTAAAATATTTATTTTTTAATTTTATTATTTTGTGTGTACCGTGGAATCTGATCCAACTGGCACAGGAGGAGATTGCCCCTTCCTCTCCAGCAGAGCATCTGGTGGTTTCAAACCGCAGGCCTTTGGGATTGCAGCACAGCTTCCAGCCATTAGGCCACTAGAGCTTGAGACCATGTCTTTTAATGAAAGCTCTTATGGGCTAGTGACAAGAAGCTGTGCTGTAATTCCAAAAGCATGTAGTTCGAGGCCACCAGATGATCCACGAAGAATAGGTGATTAACACCCCTGTGATTAACTGCCTCTAAACACCCCCCCAGAGGGTCAGCTATGGGTCGGTTCTGACTACAGGGTACACTACCACTATAACCACGTCTTTTAATAGGCTACCTACCTGGCATTGCTTTGGGGCAAAGATATGCAAAATGTTAAATCCCAGAATAGGGTTTTCTAAAAATAATAATGTCTTTCTGTATTCTCTTGTCTGCACAGAGCTCTGGTGGACAAGTCATTAAGAACTGCACAAAGGCATACATTTAGACTATATCCTTGAAAGAGGAACGATATCCTCCAGTGCCTCTGAAAATCTGCTGGAAGATCGGTTATGAGTTGGTTTCAACTCAATGTACACATTCACTTGGCAGAAGAGATTGCAGTGTTATGTACAACTTAGTTTCAAAAAATTATTTCCCTACAGAATTTTTTAAAATAGGGAGAGTTCATGCTGCCTCACTCCTAACGTTTTGTGTGTGTGTGTGACCTGAGTTTACAGAGCAAACAGGTTTTCCACTCAGCCATTTATACACACTTGCTTTGATACATTGATTATACCTCCTACAAAAAAACAGCACTTTCCCTGTTTCCATTCAATCTTCTTTCAGATCTCTTTCTGCCCTCTGAGATTTTTCACTGGGAAATGCTACCTTTTTTTAATCTTGTAGGATTTATGATTTTAAGGAGTACATTTTCTCTCTAATATTACTGATAAGGGAGCTCCAGTTGCCTAGTGATGAGAAACTGCACTACAATCCCAAAGGAACATGGTTTGAATCCCTGGGAAGAAGGATGGGCAATCTCCTCCTGTGCAGTTAAATTGCCTCTGAAAACCCGCTGGAGGGTCAGCTATGGGTCAGTTCAGACTGAATGGTACACAAGAACAACTACTGATAACCTTACAGTTTTGTCTACTGTTTGGTCAAAAGTGGGGTGATTTCAGTTCCAGGCTTAAAGAGTTTCCACCAAAAGAGCAAGCATAACATTTATGCTGTGTTGATTTAAAAAAAAATTATTTCTGGGTTTTATTCTACATTTTCACCCACTCTAATCAGACTCCTTTCATTACGATCCCTTTCAAGTCAATCAGCAGTATAACTGAACAACTTCTATAGTTCTTCTATTCTCAGGGTAACGGAAATTGACGTTTGTAAGGTCTATTACTCCTTTAGACTATAAGTCTTTTCTTTTCTTCACTCTTCTTTGTTCCAGACAGGAAGCAATAGTGTGGCATCTTAGCTGGCTGTGCAGAAGCATACTGTCTCTGTAGACTATAATGTGTCAACGGATCCTGATATCTGTCAAGACTCTAACTCATCTCATCAAGGTGTGTGGCTACATCTTAAGTTTTCATAACTTTGCACCAATCTGTCTACACAGATCTACTTACAACATATACAAACATATAAATATCATATGAAAAGCATATACGGTGAGTGTAGTCTCATTCCTCTCTACATACCTTTCCATCTTGCCTATGTACCTATTCAGAAAGTAATTATCTTTTTTATTGATAGTGGTACATATTATTTACTTTTGTTGTCTTTAACTCAAGTATCTTTGCATCTTCCTTCTCCATAGTGACAGTATGCTGATCATACTCTTTCTTGTATACTGTCTTGCCCATCAACCAAACTGATAAGTGTCTCATCTATTTAGGGATTTTCCCTCTTCTCCCTTGCCATCAGTACCAGCCATGTAAAGATGTTTCTGCGGTAGATACGAATATTTATTTGGTGATTGATTTCACTCTGTGTAACATCTTTCAGGTTCATCTATACCATTTTTCTGATTCTTTCATTGTTCTTATAGCTATTTCATCTTGTGTACTTGCCATAATTTGTTTATCCATTCATTCACTGAAGAGGACTTAGATTGCTTCCATATCTTGGTGAATAACACTACAATAAAGTGATAGAGAAGTTCATAGAGTTGTGCTGCTAACACAAAGACTGCAATTCCCTGGCATTTCAAATCTACCAACAATTCCTTGGGAGAAAGACAGGCAATCTCCTTCCAAGTGATTCCAAACAACCAACCTCAGAAACTTGTCGCTATCAGTAGAATTCAGTTCTGATAAAAAGGTAAAGAAGTTGCCAGACTAAATGGTAATTCTATTTCTAACTTTTTAAAGCGGTGTCATACAATTTTCTAGTAGTTATATCAATTTACAGTTCTACTAGCAATGTATGAGCATTCTAAACAATCCACACTCTCAACAGTGTTTGTTATACTAAACCTTGCTTTTGTTGTTGCTTATTTTCATTTGCCCAAGATTAAAAGAATTTTTTTCAAGCCCCCTGAATGTTCTACTTGCATAAGTGCCCATGTATTAGCTCATTTTTTAATTAGATTGTTATTCTTATTGCTGAGAAGTTTTCTATAAATTTATACTTTTTTAGTTATGCTGTCAAAATTTTTTCACCAATCTGTCAGCTCTCATTTTATCCTTGGAAATCTTTATCTTCTAGTTTATCTTCTGTTTCTGCACTCTTGGTTATAGCTAGTAAGTCAACACTATAAATTAGGTCCCCTAATGAAATCAAGGATATCATCCAGTAAGAGAGCTGATTACGAAAGACATAGGAGGAAGAAAAGCCAAAATGCATATCAGAAGAAACTATGAAAATTACATTAGAGCATTAAGAAACCAAAGAAAAACAAAGAGTTGCTGAGGTAAAAGAGATTGACAGAAGATTTCAAAGGGCAACACAAGAAGCCAAAGCAAAATATTGTAATGAAATGTGCAAAGAGTTGGAGGCAGAGAATAAAAAGGGAAGACTTGCTTAGTACTTCTCAATACTGAAATAGGTTACAGAAAAAATCTTGAATGATCCAGAAAGCATTAAAAGAAGATGGAAGTACAAAAAAATCAAATTAAGGTGAATCCAAGACCTGGGAGTAAAGCCAAAACCATAAAGTTCATGAGAGACAAACTGGGATCAAACTTAAATGGCCTAGTCTAAGGTACAAAGATGTGGATTCCCCAGCATAGTGACAGCCGAGCCTAAGCTAAGATCAGAGTCCAGACAGGACTGAGCACCCTCTGCAAACAGAGAATTCCGCCCAGCCACCTGGAGGAGATTCTGGATGCCCTCTGCAAACAGAGATTTCTGCCCAGCCTCCCATCGGAGGGGATGCCATGTCTGAACTTTGGTCTTAGTTTAAAGATTAAGCTTAA